TGCCTAAGTTCATATGGTACAATTCAATATGATAAACTTACACACTATGCACATTCTACAGTCAAGTAGTACGTCAAATGAAACATTTTCACTTCCAAATAAAGTTATTAACTTCATCTCATGGGACACATTTTTCTATTCCAAAGCCTCCCTCTAAAGAAAACCCAGCAACAAGCATGCCATAACTAGCTGATACAAATCCAAATCACACTGAAATGTAACACCCATAATTACATTGAATTATTCTTTAACAAAATAAAATGGTCAGAAAGTTTCTCGAACAAATCACAGTACTGTACTACTGGAAATGCTTCCATGATACTACTTGGCTTGTGAAGTTATAATGCCCCCTAATGGAGGCCACAACAAAAAAACATGCATGATATAAACCGGTTTTCTAGTTCTCTCAAAACTGAAACACATTATCAATTAGCTTCCAAATCCTAACTGGATGGGAGGGAATTAATTCTCAAACTACACAAAAAGGAATGCATTAAAATTACACACAAAACATCTTTTTGAAGATAGCACCAACAATATTCTGTTCTGGCAGTGGAAGAATTTGTCCAACAAAATCTTAATTTAGTTAGGCAAATCAATGAAACGTTTTTTAAAAAAAAAACCTGATCAGCAGATAATTAAAAACATACAACAGACTACTAGGGATGTTTTCACATTTTGTTTCCAAGAGAATAATTAAGTTTTTAAGCCAAGTATTCAAGGTGCAGGAGTGTCTGAATTGGCTCTTTTGCCAAGGGGTATATTTATGAGATGTTACTATATTGGAACAATTAATTAGTAATAGCTACTGTATCTACTATTCGGTTAAGTCTTCCAATAGTTGCTATTCTAAATTCCTCTTTCTTCTGTTTATGTTTTAACCATGTTTTGCTTAACGTCAAGTAGTTTGACCAGTTACACTGCATCTGGAACACGGCACTTCACATCTAGGTTTAAAATAAGAAAACGTTAGGGTCTAGTCTACGTTCTTAAATATATATTGAGGGGGTCTGGTCTGGTCCATAACACACCTGAAAAAATTATTAAAAACAGCATTTGTGAAAATCAAATTTTTGTTTCTTGTCAATATAAAGTGGCCCAAGAACCACTCTCTGAAATCTCTACTGGTTGCTATGGAAAACTATTGCCACCCATCCATGAAACCACCATAGCAGGCCAGCATTGAGATCTCCATGATGGTAGAAAATAACACAGTGTAAAATTAAAAATGCATACTTTCAACAAAAAAAATCCGCCAGTTTTATTACATCTCCTTTAGAGGAGGATACAATGGCAAAGAAAATACCGATGAAAATAACAGATGCGATTAACTGAATAGGTAGCACCTTATTATATATATAAAAATGTTTTGCATGACAAATGGCAACAGAAAACATGCGCACACAGATAGACATGGAAGGTAATTGTTCAGATAGATAGATCCAGACCAAATAAGCAGCATCACTTCAATTGTCAGATTACATTCAAAAGAATTGGAATGTCACTCAGCAAAATAGTACTTTTATATAGTCTTATAGACAATTAAGTCACCTCTTTGACTATTTGAACTATCAAAACCCATGGTGGCTAACTAGACTGACACCAGTCAGCTTAGACCTATTTCTTAATGTTTACTCTCTTCTAGATAACAATACCTTCCAGCATAGTTAATCTCAGACACTTCTAGAACAACATTGGAAGTAAATGTTAAAACATCAAAAATGGGCAACTTTTACATTGTACTTTTAGCACTACCATTTTCAAGCATAGCTTTTCATTGTTTCAGTTTTTCTATCCTAGCCAATTAAGTCACAATGATAAATAAAAACAAAGAACTGCAGATGTTGGAAATCAGGAAAAAAAATAGAAATTGCTGGAAAAGCTCAGCAGGTCTGGCAGCATCTGTGGAGTGAAATCAGAGTTAATGTTTCGGCTCCAGTGATCCTTCCACAATGCTTATACCTTGGAATGCTTTTACCAGAAGACTGGGGACAAGGAACTGGCATGTCATGCACTGAAGCTAGTTGAAACAAACAACAGATAATATATTTGAAATATACAAACTTCCATATTTATTTTGATCAATAGTATTTTAATACAGTAATAGAAAAGCCAGTAAACTTTTATTCGCTTATTTCAAATTCAAATACTTGCATTGTAACTTCCAGAACAACAGTGCCAGTAATTCTGCTCACAAATCTGTGATTCAACATCACAACAAAATACTTTACCAAATCTGTCAAATGGCAATTCTTCCACTTAGTTAGAGTCACAGAGTCATAGAGATATACAGCATGGAAACAGACCCTTCAGTCCAACTCATTCATGCCAACCAGGTATCCTATTTAAAATATAGTCCCATTTACCAGCATTTGGCCCTCTAAACCATTCCTATTCATATACCCATCCAGATATCTTTTAAATGTTGTAATTGTATCAGACTCCACCACTTCCTCTGGCAGTTTATTCCACACATACACCACCCACTGAATGAAATAGTTGCCTCTTAGATCCCTGTTAAATCTTTCTCCTCTCACCTTAAACCTATGCCCTATAGTTTTGGAATTCCCCACTCCAGGGAAAAGACCTCATCTATTTACCCTATATATGCCCCTCATCATTTTATAAACTCCTATAAGGTCATCCCTCAGCCTCCAATGCTCGAGAGAAACTAACCCCTCTCTCAAGAGGTCAAACACTTGAACCCTGGCAACATCTTTGTAAATCTTTTCTGAACACTTTCAAGTTTCAAAACATCCTTTCTATAGCAGGGAGACCAGAACTGAATGCAGTATTCCAAAAGTGGCCTAACCAAACTCCTGCACAGCCGCAACATGACCTCCCAACTCCTACACTCAATGCCTGACCAATTAAGGTAAGCATACCAAACACCTTCTTCACTATACTTTCTAACTGCGACTCCACTTTCAAGGAACTTCGAACCTGCACTCCAAAGTCTCTTTGTTCAGCAACACTCCCCAGGACCATACCATTAAGTGTATAAGTCTTGCCCTGACTTGCCTTTCCAAAATGCAGCACCTCATATTTACCTAAATTAAACTCCATCTGCCACTCCTCAGGCTATTAGCTCATCTAACCAAAGGCCCATTGTACTCTGAGGTAACTATCTTTGCTGTCCACTACACCTCCAATTTTGGTCTCATCTGCAAACTTACTAACCATACCTCCTACGTTTGCATCCAAATCATTTATACAAATGATGAAAAGCAGTGGACCCAGCACTTATCCTTGTGGCACACCGTTGGTCACAGGCTTCCTGTCTGAAAAGCAACACCTCTGTCTTCTACCTTCAAGCCAGTTCTGTATCCAAATAGCTACTTCTCCTCTATTCCATGTGATCTAAACTTGCTAACCAGTCTACCATGAGGAACCTTGTCGAATGCCTTACTGAAGTCCATATAGATCACATCCACTGCTCTGCCCTCATTAATCCTCTTTGTTACTACTTCAGAAAACTCAATTAAGTTCACGAGACATGATTCCCCACGCTAAAGGCCATGTCGACTATTCCTAATCAGTCCTTTCTTTTCCAAATACATGCAAATCCTGTCCCTCAGGACTCCCCCCAAAACTGCTCACCACCAATGTCAGGCTCACCAATCTATAGTTCCCTGGCTTTTCCTTACCACCTTTCTTAAATAGTGGCACCACATTAGCCAACCTCCAGTCTTCTGCCACCTCACCCATGGCTATCGATGAGACAAATATCTCAGCAAAGGATCTAGCAATCACTTCCCTAGCTTCCTACAGAGTTCTAGGGTACACTTGATCAGGTCCCAGGCATTTATCCACTTTTATGTGTTTTAAGACTTCCAGCACCTCCTCTTCTGTAATATGAACATTTTTCAAGATGTCACTATTTATCTCCCCACATTCTACATCTTCCATATCCTTCTCCACAGTAAACACCGATGCAAAATACCCATTTAGTATCCCTCCCATCTCCTGTGGTTCCACACATAGGTGGCCTTGCTGATCTTTAACAGGCCCTATTCTCTTCCTAGTTACCCTTTTGTCCTTAATGTATTTGTAGAATCCCTATGGATTCTCCTTAATCCTATTTGCCAAAGCTATTTCATGTCTCCTTTTTGCTCTCCTGATTTCTCTCTTAAGTATAGTCCTACTGCCTTTATACTTTTCTAGGGAATCGCTCAATTTCTGCTGTCAAACCTGACATATGCCTCCTAATTTTTCTTGACCAAAACCTCAACTTCTCTAGTCATCCAGCATTCCCTACACGTACCAGCATTGCCCTTCACCCTAACAGGAACATTCTGTCTCTGGACTCTCATTATCTCATTTTTGAAGGCTTCCCATTTTTCAACCGTCCCTTTACCTGTAAACATCCGCCCCCAATCAACTTTTGAAAGTTTTGCCTAATACCGTCAAAATTGGCCTTCCTCCAGTTTAGAACTTTAACTTTTAGATCCAGTCTATCCTTTGCCATCACCATTTTAAAACTAATAAAATTATGGTCACTGACCCAAAGTGCTCCCCAACTGACACCTCAGTCACCTGCCCTGCTTCATTTTCTAAGAGTAGATCAGGTTTTGCACCTTCTCTAATAGGTACATCCACATCCTGAATCAGAAAATTTTCTTGTACACACTTAACAAATTCCTCTCCATCCAACCCCTTAACACTATGGCAATCTCAGCCTATGTTTGTAAAGTTAAATTCCCCTACCATAACCACCCTATTGTTGTTATAGATAACTGACATCTCCTTACAAATGTGTTTCTCAATTTCCCGCTGACTATTTGGGGGTCTATAGTACAACCCCAATAAGGTGATCATCCCTTTCTTATTTCTCAGTTCCACCCAAATAACTTCCCTGAACGTATTCCCAGAAATATCTTCCCTAAATACAGCCATAATGTTATCCCTAATCAAAAACGCCACTTCTCCTCCTCTCTTGCCTATTGACTATATACAGATTCCCAAAGACATTTCTGCAATGCAAAAGAATTCCAACTTACCATTGATGATTCTGACTGCCGAGTTACATTGTTTCTGTTGCCCCCATTATGGCTATTTGATGTATCTGAATCGATACAGTTGGGATCGACTAAGAACTCTACCTTGTCAGAAGTTGTATCTTTGTCACTCAAACTGTCCCAGTCAATAATGGGTAGGTCTTCTGTAAAAAGAGAACAAGCTAATTTTGAATTCAGCCCACACTAAAATGAACAACATTTAAAGACTTAGAGGACATTTTAAGATCTGTGAATTCTGTTTCTAAATTGAGACCTGGATTAGGATTGGAATTCAACAGGAGAATACAGCTTTAGGGAGTTAATTCTTATTAGTTTTCTAATAACTCTCTATCAGTCTGCACAAACAATACATTTCAATTGTATGGTTGCCAAAACTATCTGCCTAATGCTCGGCTTCAAGACACTTGCTGAGTGCTGGAGAGGATCCAGTCCCATTGTCCACGTAGGCACCAATGATAGATGGAGGACAAAGAAGACAGTTCTGCAATCAGCACTAAGCTCAGTGCCAAATTAAGAAGCAGAGCCTCAAAAAGGGCATAATTTCTGGATTGTGACTTGAACCATTTACAAACTGGCATACGCAAATCAGATTAGAGAGATGAATGCATGGCTGCAGGACTGGTGTAGAAGAAATGGGTTCTCATTCATGCAACATTGGTAGCAGGGCTGGGGAAAGTGGGATATGTACCAATGCAACATCATTCATCTCAACCACTTGGCACTGGTGACCTTGCAAACCACACAATTATGGAAGGAGAGAGAATTTTAAAATTAACAGTGTGGCAAGGGCTTAAATTTAGGAAGATTTTAATTTATTATTGACATATGTAGGATATGCAGTGCAAAGTACTGTTTTGCATGCTAACCTGACAAATCATACCTCATATAAGATATATCAAAAGAAAAGACAAGAGATTTTTGAGAAGCTTTATAGCTCGAGTCATGGATGAGGTTGCAGACTTGCTCGCCGAGCTGATGTGTTTAATTGTCAACATTTCATCACCCTGCTAGGTAACATCGTCAGTGGACCTCCGGTGAAGTGTTGGTGTTCTGTCCTGCTTGTTATTTATATACCTCAGTTTGCTGGGGTGGTTGGTATTACTTTCAGTGGTTTGTATATCAGGTCCAGTTCAATGTGTTTGTTGACGGAGTTCCGGTTGGAATGCTAGGCCTCCAGGAATTCCCTGGCATTTCTCTGTTTGGCTTGTGCTGTTATGGATATGTTGTCCCAGTCGAATTTGTGTCCTTCTTTGTCCGTGTGTATTGAGAACAGTGAGAATTGGTCGTGTCTCTTGGTGGCTAGTAGGTGTTCATGTATCCTTATTGCCAGTTTTCTGCCAGCAACCATCCCAACACCCATAAACGGAGCTGCATCAGGACATTATTCAAACAAGCCACAACACACTGCAGCAACCCGGAATTGCGCAAAACAGAACAAGAGCACTTATATGGAGTTTTTAACAGGAATAGATACCCAAAAAGCACAATCCGCCATTACCTCCGCGACAGACCACAAGACGACACAACACGGCCAGATACACTTGTCGCCCTACCGTACATCAGGGACATATCAGAGATGACAAGACCACTCAGACCTTTAGGTATCAGGGTAGCCCACAAACCAAAAACCACCCTGTGACAGCTACTAACGTATGTAAAGGACCCCATACCCAGAACAATAAAACTAATGTAACATACAAAATACCATGCAGGGACTGTGAGAAACATTACATAGGCCAAACTGGAAGAAAACTGGCAATAGGTATACATGAATACCTACTAGCCACCAACAGACACCATGAGAAACAGAACCATAAGTAATACCAACCACCCCAGCAAACCAAGGCATATATAACAAGCAGGACAGAACACCAACACTTCATCAGAGGTGCATTGATGATGTTACCCAGCAGGGCGATGAAATGTCTGCAATCAAACACACTGGCTTGGCGAGCAAGGCTGTAACCTCAAAAGACAAAAGAGAATGGTATTAATACACGAAATGATAAACAGACCATGAGAGGAAGAATACAGGGGACAAATTTAGAAATAAACTTCAGATAAGACTATAGGATACTAAAAGAATAAAACTAAACACCTTGTATCTGAAAGCACATAGAATTGGAAACAAAATAAATGAACGGAGAGTGCAAACAGAAATAAATGAATACGATCTCATAGCCATTGTAGAAACATGGTTATAAGATGATATGGATCTATACCATAAGACCATAAGATATAGGAGCAGAGTTAGGCCATTCCACTCACCAAGTCAGCTTCGTCATTCAATCATGGCTAATATGTTTCTCAACCCTATTCTTCTGCCTTCTCCTTCATAACCCTTGATTCCCTTACCAATTAAGAACCTATCTATCTCTGTCTTAAATACACTCAATGGACCAGACAGACCCCGCTCAAAATATTTTAAGAAGGTAGCTGAGACCTTAACTACTCCTTATTTTTAAAAGGCAAATGTGAAGTGCCTTTTCCAGATGTAATGCGATTGGTCAAACTACTTGATGTTAAGCAAAACATAATTTGTTTAAACACCATAGTTAAAACACAACCAAAGAAAGAGGAATTTAGAATAACTTAACTCTACGGAAAACTTAGCAGAATAACAGATACAGTAACTGTGACTAATTAACTGCTCCAATATAGTAACATTCCACATCCACACTCCTTGGCAAAAAGGAAAATTCAGACACTGATGCTCACATGCAGTTCTCCCATAATAAACATCAAGAGAAAATTCAGAGGCAGTAGCAGCCAGGAGACATTCACTGAAGCTTCCAACTCTGTTGAGACCCCAATAGGTTCTGCTTAAAGCTAAACCTAAAAACCCAGAAATCCTATCAATAAGAGATGGCCACACCCATTCAGGCTGTTTTTTTAAAAAAAACAAGGCCTCCCAAGCTGTTTACTCTAGTGGTTTTTCGTAGGTTCCCCTTTACCTCTGCCTTACAACCTCTCTTCAAAAAAAAAAATCCAGGACAAAAATAATTTCTTAAATTCATAGCATCAACAACACTTGGCCTCCACAGCCCTCTGCAGCAATGAATTCCACAGATTAACCACCCTCTGGCTGAAGATATTCCTCCTTACGTCAGTTCTAAAGGGCTAACCCTTCACTCTGAGGCTAAGCCCTCGGGTCCTAGTCTCTCATACTAGCGGAAACATTTTCTCCACATCCTCTCTATGCAGGCCTCTCAGTATTCTGTAAGTTGCAATCAGATTCCCCCTTATCCTTCTAAACTCCATCATGTACAGACTCAGGGACCTCAACTACTCCTCCCAGGATCATTTGTGTAAACTTCCTCTGGACCCTCTCCAACCCCAGCACATCCTTCCTTAGATATGGGGTCCAAAACTGTTCACAATATTCAAAATGTGGTGTGACCAGAGCCTTATACAGCCTCAGTGATCTTCTTTAAATGAACGCTAACATGACATTTGCCTTCCTAACTGACAAATGAACTACATATTAACCTTAAGAAAATCCTGAATTAGGACTCCAAAGTCCCTTTGTGCTTCAGATTTCTGACACTTCTCCCCATTTAGAAAATAGTCAATGCCTCTGTTTTTCCTATCAAAGTGCATAACCTCATACTTTCCGACATTGTATTCCATCTGCCAGTTCTTTGCCGACTCTCCTAGCCTGTCCAAGTCCTTCTGCAGCCTCTCCGCTTCCTCAACATTAACTGTCTCTTCACCTATACATCGGAGCATTGAAGTGTACAGGACATGTAGGAAGGACAGAAATCAAGATAAGGTGGAGAAGTAGCTTTAATTATGATATTAGCACAATAGAAAGGAATACCTAAATTGAGGAAATCAGGATGCGGTAATAGTTTGAGGTAGATGTGAGAAATGATGATGGTAGGAATCACTTGTGCAAGTGGTGTAGAGGTCCCTTAATAGTAACCACATATAGATTGGAGCAAAAAAGGATTATTAATTGGAGCTCATCACAAAGGCACAGAAATGATCACGATATGTCTTAATCTACTTGTAGACTTGAAAATTCAGATGAGCAAAGGTATCTAAGAGAAGAAGTTTTCATGATAGTTTCCTACAATAGCACCTTACAAGAGCCAACTGGAGAGCAGGCAAAATTAGATCTGGAATTGTGCAACAATTCAGCATTAGTTAATGACTTCATAACAAAAGCAGCCCTGTTTACCAGTGACCATATCATGATTTTTATTTTCATTTTTCAGAAGAAAGGTGTGAGTTTAAGGCTGATATTTCCTATTTAAATAAGGACAATAAATGAGGGCATGACAGCAGAGTTGCCTAAGTGAACAGGCAAAGCAGGTTAAGGTATAGCTCAATAGAGATGCAGTGGCAGGCATTTAAGGGGATATTCCAGAATAAATGGAATAGATACATACCTAAGAAAAGTAAAATTCTAAGGGACGGAGCCCTAGTGGTTAATTAGAAAGCTAAAAGACAGTATCAATCTTAAAGAAAAAACCCATAGTTATGCAACAGTAAATGGCAGGTCAAATGATTGGATGAAATATTAAAAACTAAAAAATTAAAGTACAAGAGAAAGCTAACCAGAAACATAAAAGCAGAACGAGTTTCTATAAACCATTTTTTAAAAAAGTTAACAAAATGAGGATCAGTCCCATAGAAATAACAAAGCAAAATAAGGAGATGGCAGATGAACTGAACAGATATTTTTCATTAGGCCTCACTACAGACAATAAACTAACATCCCAGAAGTGCCTATAAATCAAGAAATGGAAGCAAGGGAGGAACTGAGGGAAATTACAATCACTGAGATACAACTGAATAAATCATATTGGAGTTGTAGGCTGGCAGCTTTGTGAGATACTTAATGCATGGCTTCTAATTTTCCCCCAAACTCCCTGAATTTGGGGAAAGTCTCATTAGATTGGTAGATAGGAAATGTAACTCTTTTATTGGAAAAGGGACAGAGACAGAAAGTAGGAATTGATAAACAGATAGTTTAACATCTGTCATAGGGAAAATGTTACAAGTATTATTTTTAAAAAATTACATCTGGACACTTAAATCAGTTCATGGCAATGAGATGGAGTCAGCATGCTTTTGTGAAGGGGAAATCATGTAAAACCAATCCACTGGAGTTATTTGAGAAAATAACATGCTGCGGAAATACTAGATGTGCTGCAGATTTCCAGAAGTAATATGATAAAGTGTCATATCAAAATTTATTGCTGAAGCAAAGGCTAAAAGAGTAGGGGTAATATATTGGCATATGTACAAGATTGGCTGGTTAATAAGAAGCACAGCACAGACTTAAATGGGTCTCTTGCAGATTGACAAGATGCAACGAGTAGTTCACCACAAGTTTCAGTGCCATGATTTTGACTGACTGCAATTTGCATAATGCTGAAAAAAGGCTTTATCAAAGCATTTTGTCTTGGCACTGATCAGGACAATTTGCAGTACAAATTTAGAGTAAAACCAATATTTGTACTGTATGATAGGATTGTGTTGATTGTTTGAAAAACAGCTACTAATGTGGAAATATTAAAAAAAATTAAAATATTAAATTCCAGACCTATTTTCAAAAAAATTACACAAACATCTAAAAAATGAATTTAAGCATAGTTAAATCTATATATACAAATTTTCTTTTCTAAAGATGGCTGTGTTGTATCATTTAACAGCAATTTCTTAATTTGAGTGAAATTAACAGATTATAAATTTTACTGAATAACAATCTGAGCCCTGTTCATTTTTTCATTGTATCGGTACAAAACAATCGCTGGACATATCCAAATACTGCCATTAGAATAGTGACATTCAAATTGTTTTGGTTGAAGGACTCCCTTTCAAATGGGTTTGTGATTGCAGAAACTCAATCTAAATGATAATCTTATATAAAATCCCAATATCAAAAACACTGCATGAAATAGTTACTTTCTTAACGGAATTACTAAAACAGGAGTACTTCTGAAAAGGCATTTTTTCAAAGCTTATAATTTTGCACTTATCAAGATAAATTGCAAGAAATATCAATGCAAGGGAAAACAACATCTATTCTGTTCAATAGGACTGGCAAATAGACTAGTGCAGACACTGTGATTGGAAAATTCCCAGTTAGTGATGACTAACAGTTAACTTCCAAGCTTTGTTTAAATTTTAAACTAGGGAGGTTGACTTGATTGAATCACGAAATGAATCAGGAATGGCTGTCAACTTGTCAACTTCAAACAGTCGCAGTGTATTCTTGTGCATATACATGTTTTCTGTCTCTTTCTTTTGCCACATGACTGTACAAGGGTACTGAAGGGCTCAGTTGAGTAACTAATTAGGTAGAGAGAAGAAGACTGAGAGAAAAGTCACTATGAGCCATGTCAGATTAGGTGCCTTGAATCTCTCTCAACAAGTCAAAGTGGGAAAATTCCACCCACTGCTCATCAGAGTGACTGCACCGTTTGAAATGCTTTCTAGATTGGGTTTTCCAGGTTTTTATGAATCAGCATGTCTCGGTTTCTCACAACTTTCAATTCAGTAAGCACAATGGCATTGCAGAGAATGAAAGCAGGCCAAACTGAGATAGTACCATGAACCACTCAGATTTAGTGCACTTGAGTATCCTCAACAGTATCTTCTTGCACAGTTTGACTGTACAGCCACACAGTGTGTGGCAGCTACAGGCTCATTAGTCAAAGCAGCATTCTGCAGCAGATCAGACAAGAGACAAATTTGTATATAAAGTATTCTGGTTGCACTTCTCCCCATGTTGGTGCACTGAGCTATAGTACCAAGGTCATCTTGTTGAAATGAGACCAACAGGTAATCCATTTTGCATTAATTATCTATTTTGCCTCTTATTTTGTACAACTCTGACTGAATCCCTTATACTTTCACAATGTGAACAGCTTTACAGCTATTATCAAAATCTGGTTAAAAATTCAATCTTTTACAGAAAACATAGGCGCTACTCAACACCATTTTCTATATAATTGCGTCCATTGCAACCTGCCAGGTTTGTCCTAAAAAGGTTGGACTACATAAAATCTCAAAGTCCTTAGTGCATACCTGGCTACTCAGAAATTTGTCATCTTGTTGACTATTGGTTACTTTGCCCACAACAGAAAAATTACTTGCCTTCACTAGACTGGCTGTCTGTTAATGAATTAATCATGCAAATGTATTTATGGTACGAATTCACTGTACTTTGGCCTTTCAGGACAGATCTTCTTTCCTTCAAAACCCTTGAATTATTCATCATTAACTCTCCATCTGATAAATCACTGTCACTGGAACTCCATATGATTTTTGCAATTTCCTCAGACCTCTGATTGCCAGGATCTGCTGCACCAAAAAAAACACAAAAAAAAGCAAATTTCATAATCTTGTTATACTCATTGCACAATAATAGACAAACAGCCAGTTTATTTAAATATTTAGTTTTCAGATTACAAATAGCATTATATTTAAATTCAACAATTAAAAATATACTTGCATGTATATAGCATCTATTAGGTCCTATTTTCACATCCCATTGTTCTGAACCGATAAACTGCTTTTGAGCTATAATCATGGTGCTATGTAAACTAACACAGTAACTGTATTGTGCACAGCCAAGATAAATAACAAGATAAATCTGTTTTGATGATGGGGATTAATTAAAGGAACTACCCTCCTCCTCTGTGAATGGATCCTACGTCTCTTTGAATAGCTGAGTGGGAATTCCAGTGAACATCCAACCCAAAGATAGCACTTCCAAAAATTTCCTTGATGTTATAACAGCAGTCCAGATTACGTGCTCAAATCTAGCACAGTTGAGTGATGCTTGAATCCATAACCCCCGAGATAAACTACAAGCTTAGACTAATTTGCTTGAGATGAGTCTTGTTGAAAAAAATATCACTGCAAAACTGAAAATATGCGGAACAGAAGATTAAAGCTTTGGGACACACGTACCCAAATTGAAACAGCTTGCCCCGGAAAACAAACTCGAACATAATTGAGCTGGTACCAATGCAGCAACAACCATAGAGATGAGTTAGACTAGGGAGCTCAGGAAGGGCTAGCACAAGATGCTTACCTAAGAACATACATGCAGAGAGGCAAGCAGCAGAGGATATAGAGATTAATGAAAGAACAAAACAGTTTAAATGACTAAAACAATGTTGACTTCTCTCACTTTTCTTTTAATTTATTTAGCACCTTTAACATGGAAAATGCCACAAGATGTTTCACTGGAAGGTTTTCAATCACAATTTGACACCAAGTACCATTAGAAAATTTTAGGGTAGATGACTAAATACTAGGTCAAAAAGTCAATAGTTGCGCAGAGTTAGTTAAGGAATTCAATAGCTTAGGTCTTTGGTCAGAAGTTACTAATAGTGGAGCCTCATAAGGCCAGAATTAAAGCAATGCAGATATCTCAGAAGGTTGTGGCCTGAAGAAAGTACAGAGTTAGGAAGGGGTGAGGACATCAAGGGAATTTGAAAATGAGGATGAGATTTTTAAAACTGAGACATGGTTTATCTAGAAGCCACTGAAGCAGGAGGCAAAAGGTGATAAGGTCTTACTGCAATTTAGGATATGAGAAGCTGAGATTTGGATGATCTTCAGTCTATCCTCCTTGTGGTTAGAATACAAACATAAACATACAATTGGGAGCAGGCATAGGCCATTTGGCCACTCAAGTATACTCCACCATTCAATAAAATCATGGTTGATCTGATTAATCTACACACCCACTCAGCCCCAACAACCATTGTCATTTTTCAAGAATCTATTTACCTCTGCCTTAAAAATATTCAAAGGCAGTACTTTCGTTTTTTAAGAAACTTCCAAGTCTCTTAACCCGAGCGAAAAGAATTACCAGCATCTCTGCTTGAATTCGGTGATCTTTTATTTTTAAACAGTGCTTCTATATTCTCCCAAAAGATGAAGCATCCCTTCCACATGCACCTTGTCAAGATACTTCTGAATCTTTCATGTTTCAACCGAGAGAAACCGGCCAAGAGTGAATTAGAATAGTCAGGGCTAAAGATCACAAAGGCACAGATGAGCATTTTAACAACAGCTGAGCTGAGGCAATGGCAGAGCCACGTAATATAACATAGATGGAAATAGGCAGCCTTAGTAGTGTGGTGAAAGTATAGTTGGAGCTGATCCCTGGTACAAATTTGACACCAAGATTGTGAAAGATTTGGTTTACCTTCAGACAATTGCCAAGGGTGAAAGATTTGGTGGCTACAGAATGGCGAACAAAAATAATGTAAAGCAAAAAGCTTTATAAGATGATATAGAAATTGTGCCTTTGGTTAATAAGTGACAATCTGAGTCGAAAATAATAAGGGGGAAGAAATTGAGACTGAAGGTGAATAGAGTCCCAGTAGTCAAGCTAATAGGATATTTTGTCTAATTATAGACAATTGTTTAGAATTAAGCCAAGTACTATTCAAGAATCTGTTCCACAAAGATCCATTTTTATAATCAAACAGCAATTACCAGTTCCATTTGCCAGCATTTGGCCCCTATCCCGATAAACACATCCTATTCATATATCCATCCAGATGCCTTTTAAATATGGTAACTGTACCGGCCTCCACCACTTCCTCTGCCAACTCATTCCATGCATGCATACGATCTGCATGAAAAAAGTTGACCCTCAGGTCCCTTTTAAATCTTTCCCCTCCTCACCTTAAACCTATGCCCTCCAGTTTGGTACTCCCCCCCACCTTGGGGAAAAGACCTTGGCTATTCACCCTATACATGCTTCTCATGATTTTCTAAATTTCTACAAGGTCATCCCTTAGACTCCGTCGCTCCAGAGAAAATAGCCCTAGCCTATTCAGCCTCTTCCTTTAGCTCAAACCCTCCAACTCTGCCAACATCCTTGTAAATCTTTTCTGAACCCTTTCAGTTTCACAATATCTTTCCTATAGCAGGGAGACCAAAATTGAAGGCAGTATTCCAGAAGTGACCTAACCAATGTCCTGTACAGCCACAACATGACATCCCAACTTCTATACTCCTATTACTTCCATGCAGTAATACTTTCTTTGAAATGGAAAATTGAGCATGCACTAAGCTATGGAAGAAATGTGGCAGATAAACAAGCGAATTAGATCTAACAGAAACAGAAATTTCTGGAAAAGCTCAGCAGGCCTGGCAGCATCCATGGTGAGAAACCAGAATCAACACCTCGGGTCCAGCAACGCCTCAAGGAATTAAGGGTTATGGTAAGGGGGTGGGTGAGCGGAGCTGTGGCCATGAAATGATCAGCCATGATCTAATGGAATAGCAGAGCAGGCCCGAAGGGCCAGACGGCCTACTCCTGCTCCTGGTTCATATGTGCAGTATTCCAATAAGATTCAGTTGGTCCTCTTGAAGTCCCAGCAACAAAGGGATAGTCTTGAAGCAATTCAATCCACTCCATGTGGTATATTGCAAAGGTTAAGGGGCTCTGACAAAATTCTAGCAGCAGTACTGAAGACATGCTGCAGAATTAGCTATGCCACTAGCCCTGCTGTTCCAGTCAAACTGCAAAACTGGCATCTACCTGACAATTAGAGTCTTAAAGGAGCTGCCAGTGAAACAATTGATGCATTAGTTTTAATGTTCCTAAACTTATTAGATATGGGTAAGGTTCCTTTAGATTGGAAAATAGCTACTGCTATAGCTTCTTTACTTGTAAAGAGACAGAGGAAGAAAGCTGAAACTACAGACCAGTTAGCTTAGTGTTTGTCATAGGGAAAATGTTGGAAGCTATTATTCAAGAGGTTATAACAGAACACTTGGATAATTTCAAGATAATCAAGCAGAGCCAACATGGTTTTGTGAAAGGGAAATTATGTTAACTAACGTGAAATGGAAATCTGTGGATGTATTGGGTTTAGATGTCCAAATGGCATTTGACAAGTTGCCATATCAAATGTTATCATGGAAAAGAAAAGCACATGGTGTAGGGGGTAACAATACGGTATGGACTGAAGACTGGCTTGCCAACAGGAGGTACAGGGTAGGAATGTGGGTCTTTAACAAGTTGGTAGAATTTCACAAGTGGGGAGCCATGGGGGGCAGTGTTGAGGCATCAACTCTTCACAATTCATATAAATTATTTGGATGAAGGGACCGAAGGTGTGATAGATAAATTTGCTGATGACACAAAGAAATGTATGAAAATGAATTGTGAAAAAGACATAAGGAGACTACAAAGGGATATAATTAAGTGGATGGGCAAAGATCTGGCAAAAGGAGTACAATGTGGAAAACTGCAAAATTGTCAATTCTTGGGGGAAATAATGAACAAGAACCATATTATCTCAAAGGTGAGAGATGGCAGAGGTCTGAGATGACTGCCTTATGAGGAAAGGCTAGACAGGCTAAACTTGTATCCTCTCACTTAATTGAAACACAAGATCCTGAAGGGATTTGACCAGGTGGATGTTGAAAGCATGTCTCCTCTTGTGGGAGAATCTAGAACTAAGGGTCATTGTTTAAAAACAAGAGTGCCCATTTAAAACAGTTGAGGAATCGTTTTTCATCTCGGACTGTTGTAAGTCTTTGAAATTTTCTTCCTCAAAAGGTAATGAATTCAGATTCTTTAAGTATTGTTAAAGAAGAGACAGATAGATTCTTAATTACCAAGTGGATGAAAGATTATTTGGAGATATGCAGGAATATGGAGTTGAAGTTAAAATCAGATCAACTAAGATCTTACTGAATGGTAGAGCAGGCTCAAAAGGCCAAATGGCCCACTCTTGCTCATATGTACATTCACTATCTGTCTCAGTATTACTGTTGGATATCTTTGGGCAAAAGGCTACAATCTCTTAGATGCTGGGCAAACAAACTCCTAAACTCAAGTATGCCTTCCCCATAAAGACTTTTAAAAGGAGCTGATATATAGTTGAACCTATAAACTAAGCATGGGCTCACTGACTCAATGTTCTACTCACACTGGAATAGTTTTGAACAGATTTTAATTGAAGATAAATTTCTGTGATAGTGTAAATTTTTTCTCTATTGTTACTTTTCTTTAACAAATGAGCAATGTACCAGAAAGAAATTTACATCTGGTCTTATCTGTACGAACAGTAAAGTGAAAAAGTATAAATTTAAAAGTGATGTGGAATCTCCAAGACCCAAGGAAGAGTTGAAAGTTCCCTTGGCTTGATTCATGCTGGAATTCTTTCAAGCCTTACATCAGAACACACAGTAAACTTACGACAGCTGATGAGAAAATACATTGCGACAAATGGTCAGAATCCCAACAACAGTTGGCTGCCATGCTGGATCCTCAAGAAACTGAAAGTAACATACAAGTTTAACATATAACAAATAAGTTTGTCTTCTACAATACAAATAAACCTGTCATTCTACAGTGGATACAATACAAAAGAATTGTAATCAAATCTGGTACAAGGGAGGGAAATGGCATTTGCATTCAAAGATTGTAACACCAGCTGAGATCATAATTTTTAATTTAAACAGTATGAGGAGACCATTCAGGCCATTGTGTGTCTGCAGCAGCTCTCTGAATGAACGTTTCATTTACAGCCTTTTTCTACCTCTCCCCACAACCCTGTCCATTGTTCCTTTTCAAATAATAGTTTCTCTAATTCATTCATGAACCCAAGGAGGGACATATTCTTGTGAAAGTAGTGAATTTTGGGAATTCTTTACTCCAAAGAGCAGTGAAGAGACAGGAAGATTCTTGAACAAGTGTCAATTGAGGCCATGATCAGATCAGCTATGGTTTTATTGTGTGGTATAGTAGGCTCATGCAGCCAGACAATGTACTCCTTACTTTTTCAATTCTTAATGGACCAAGTGTTCAAACAACAATTACAAGTTTTAAAAAAAGGAGTATGTGCATATTAAGCCCACAGTAAGATTTCAAGTCAAAGAAAAATAGGCTTTATATAAGTTTTTTCAATCTTGTGATGTCTAAAAGGACTACACAACCAATGAATTACTTTTAAAACACATTCACAGTTATAATAAGGAAGAAATATTCATGCACCAAAATCAGACAAGTAAAAATTTTCAAACAGCGTGAGATGAGGATTTGTCATAGAATGTTATCACCACTCTTTATCACCTTTTGCAAAATTGCACAATATGTTTGCTGCCAGGCTGGATCCTCAAAGAACAGGGCCCAGTACTTCCAAAGGGTAGGAAAACGGGGAAGTTTCTCAGCATATGAATTGCATGTTCCTCTTCAGAGAACTGAAACTTAAATGAGTGAAGGAACAGAGAAAGAAACAGTCACTTTGAATGATCGTTGTCATTCTAAAGTGTAAAATCCAAATGATGTCAGATATCAAATATTTTTATTCCATCCTTTGAAAACCCAGCATTTTAGGCCTCTCAATTCATGAAGAGGCCTCAGTAAACACACAATCTTATATGCTGCTGAAACATCAATTTTCAGAATTTTCTATGAATCTATTGAACTACTGTAATAGTCAGCAGGGTTAAAAGAGCATTGACCTCTGAAATGTTATGAAAATACACCAAAATTAGTAATATTCCCTGCAGGGTAGAAATTATTTACAGTAAAGAAAATTTAGAAGGCCGATATGAGGAGTGGAGTATTATAACAAAAAGATATTTTCTTTTAGTTTTACTTATTTACATCAATATGTGTTTAGGAGGAGGTGAGGTTCCTGTTTTTTTTTTAAATATAGCTCCATTTTTCCCTGATTGGATTGTATTCCACAACACCATATGCAGCTGGTGGGGTGAACAGATAGCCTGCTCTAGCATTTTGGCCAATACCTTTTTTTAAAATCAACCACTAGGAGGTGCCTGAGACGAGGCAAAATAATTCTGGCATTTCTTACTTTTCTGGGCTGTGCAAGATGCCAGTGTTAAATCTATAATTTAACAGCTTGGCTCTGGGCACAGCTAGATTTGGAGCACAAATCTATTGTTGCACCACTGGCATAGCCTATGCCATATTCAGTGCCTTCAGTACTTTCTTCATACTGCACGAAGTCAATCAAATTGGGTGAAGACTAGCATCTATGGTGTTGGGAGAGGATGAAATGGATCGTCTATTCTTACTGATGATGGTTGAAAATGCTTCATCACAGTCATTTGCAAAAACAAATTGGGCTCACCCATTATTGAAGGTGGTGGAGATGGAATATTGCAAAGGCACCTCCTGTAGTCAATTAACTTTCCATCACCATTCATAATCGAAAGCAGCAAGTTGCAGAACTTTGATTAGCTGTGGGTCGTTTAGCTCCTTATAGTGCATGATAAAAAACATAGAACTGCAGATGCTAGAAACCCAAAGCAAAAAACAGAAATCTCTGGAGAAAGTCAACAGGTCTGGCAGCATGTGTGGACAGAAAACCGAGCTAACATTTACAGTCCAGTGACCCTTCTTCAGAACTGTAAACTTAGTTAACTGTTTTCTCTCCACAGATGCTGCCAGACTCTCTGGGTCCAGTAATTTGTTCTTATTCCTTCTACTATACATTGCTTTCACTACTTAGCACACATGCTAGGCCATGAGGTAAAAGACTGTAGATGGAAGACATTTCTGCTTCTGCTGATGACTGTTTTGAACAGATCAATTCTGAACCTGTCCCATTAAGCACCATTACAGTGCAACACAACGTGATTGTCAACATCTCCAGTGTGTAAATGGGACTTCATCTTTGCAAGTTATCTGGTGATCACATATATCTGTAAATTGGCTAGGGCAAGGTCAAGTTGGTCTTCACCTTTTCTGGATTCCCTCACCACCTGTCACAGGCCCAGCCTGACAGATATTCCTTCAGAAATTGACCTGTTCAGTCAAGTAATAGTGATATCAAGCCAAGCTTAGAGATGGGCATTGAAATCTTTTGCTCGGAATTCATTCCGTGGCATTGCTATCGTCAATGTCTCAACTGGAGCTCAACATGGAGGATTGCAGTAGGTGTTTTTTTTTGCCCATGTTTGCTCTGATGCCATGAGACCTCCTGGGATCAGGATCAGTCTTGAGGAATAATGCTCCCAGAGCAACTTCCACCTGAACATATATTACTGTACCTTCCTAGGAAACTACCTTCTCAACTATATATCACGATGTTGCTACCTCCTGGCAGCAAGCAGGCCAGAAATGATGTATGAGGAGTCTGGAATATTGGCTATAAAGTATGACTATATCAGGCTATTACTTAGTTTGTTTGTGGAATCAATCTCCTAATTTTGCAAAGGAATCTTGAGCAGGGTCAACTTGGTACAGTATGCCATTGTTTTCAGTGCCTAAATTGATGTCAGGCAATCTTCCCATTTCTTTTTTTCAACTTTACTGTTAGATTTGGAACAAATGAGTGGCTTACTGGGGGCTATTTCAGAGAGCATCTAATAGTCAGTCATATGTTGGCCAGATTGGGCAAGAATAGATTTCTTTCCCTAAATGGTAATAGAGAATGGCAAGGGACTTAACGACAATCCAGTAGTTTCATGATTGCTGTTACTCAGGCTAGCTTTTAATTCTTTATTTATTAATTGAACTTAAAATTGACCAATGGTAGCAGCAGTATTTGAACTTATGTCTCCAGAATTTTGGATTGTGGGCCCAGCCTGACAGATATTCCTTCAGAATTTGACCAGTTCAGTCAAGTAATAGTGATATCAAGCCAATCTTAGTGATGGGCATTGAAATCGTCGGCTCAGAATATATTCAGCGGCCTAGCTATCGTCAATGTCTCAATTGGTGCTCAACATGGTCAAATACATGGAGGAGTGCAGTAGGTGGTAAATAGGATTAATAGCTGCCTTGTGCTGTTAAACAGCATATTCACTGTTGGTGCCCGAATTCATGGAAACATCTACAAATGGGAGCTAGAAAGCTGCTTGGAGCAATGTAACTGTTAATGATAGCTATCAACTTCAGAAAAGGAGAAAGTTGGTGTACAGCAAGCACCTAATACAAGGCAAACTACCTCTGTCAGAATGAAGTAAAGATGTGAGGCCACATACAACCATTTCCTCTTCTCCAGTAGACTTGTTACCCTGTTAAAACAAAAATTATAAGAAAAATGAAACATCTGAGAAAATTGAGCAACACAATGTAGAATAAAACTAAACAAAACAACTGTCGGGCATATGCAATTACTGCCATTAGAAAAGTAATGTTAAAATTGTTTTGGTCAAACGATTCCCTTTATAGTGGGTTTGTGATTGGAGACGCTCAATCTAATGATAACATTATATAACACACAATACAAAAGTTCTGCATGGAAATAGTTATTTTTTAAAAGCATTATTAAAACTTGAGTATTTCTGAGAAAAGACAAATTGTGCCAAAGATTTTCCTCTTGCACTCATCAGGATAATTTACAAAAAATAGGAACATAGGAACAGGAGTAGGCCATTCAGATACTTGAGCCTGTTCTACTATTCAATGAGATCATGGTTGATTTGTGGCCTCACTCCATATACATTCCTTTGGCCCATATCCCTTAATACTTTTGCTTAACAAAAATTTATCTATCTCAAGTTTAAAACTAACTTCAATCAAGCAACAACTGATATTTGTTGAAGAGTTTCAAGCTCTATCACCCTTTGTATGTAGATATGCTTCCTACATCTCTCATGAACACCTGGCCCTAATTTTCAGACTACGTCCCTAGTTCTAGAATCACCTATCACTGCAAATACTTTATTTTTATCCCATCTTTTCCTGTTAATATCTTGAAGACTTTAATCACATTACCCTTTAACTTTCTAAAATCTAGAGAAAACAGGCCTAATTTGTATAATTTCTCCTTATAACTTAATCCCTGAAGTCCAGATATCATTCTTGTAAGCCTATACTGTATTCCCTCCAAGAAAAATATATCCTTCATAACGTGCAGTGCCCAGATCTGCTCTCAGTTCCCCAAGTGGGGTCTAAACAGGGATTTGTATAACTGCAGCCTAATTTCTGTCTCCTTGTACTCCAGTCCCCCAGTTATAAACACCTGCACTCCATTGGCCTTCTTGATTATCTTCTGCACTTGTTGTGGCATTTTAAAGATCTATGCATCTGAATCCCCTAGTCTCTTTGGACATCCATTTAGACATTTAACTTCATACCATCTAGAAAGTAACCTGATTTATCCTTTTTCAGTCCAACGAGCTCAAACTGAACTCCAACTGCCACAGTTTTGCCCATTCACTTAATATCAGTATCCCTCGGTAACTTTATGCTATAATCTACATTTCCCCCAGCTTTGTGTCAGCAAATTCAGACATACGACTTTCTATGCCATTATCCAAGTCGTCAATAAATAATGTGAATATTTGAGGCCATAGCACAGATCCTTATGGGACACCACCAATCACATCCTGCCAGAGTACCAACATAAAGGGAAACAACATTCTGACTGTATGAGAGCGGATTTTGATTGACAGGCTAGTGCCTCTGGTGAAAACCAAAACATCAGTCAGTGATGATTGAACAGCTAATTGCAAAGATTCATTTAAATGTTAAGCCAGGCAACTCGACTCTAATTGATCAAAGAATTGCCCTGAGAGAAGAACCAGAGAATGGCTGTCACTTATTCTGTTGCATTGAAACAGGCACAATATGTGTACATATTTTTTCTTCTGCAAACAGTACAGGGCCCCGTGCATTAATACATGTTGCTTCCAGTGCAAATAAAAAAAAGAAAATTACAGCCAAGGAACAGGCCCTTCGGCCCTCCAAGCCTGCACCGACATGCTGCCCGTCACAACTAAAACCCCCTACCCTTCCGGGGACTGTATCCCTCTAGTCCCATCCTATTCATTTATTTGTCAAAACGCCCTTTAAAAGTCACTATGGTATCTGCTTCCACTATCTCCTCCGGCAGCGACTTCCAGGCACCCACCAACCTCTGTGTAAAAAAACTTGCCTCGTACATCACCTCTAAACCTTGCCCCTCGCACCTTAAACCTATGGCCCCTGGTAAATGACTCTTCCACCCTGGGAAAAAGTTTCTGACTGTCCAGTCTGTTCATGCCTTTCATAAGCTTGTAGACCTCTAGCAGGTCGCCCCTCAACCTCCATCATTCCAGTGAGAACAAACCAAGTTTCTCCAACCTCTCCTCATAGCTAATGCCCACTATACCAGGCAACATCCTGGTAAATCTTTTCTATACCCTCTCCAAAGCCACCACGTTCTTCTGGTAGTGTGGCGACCAGAATTGAACACAATAATCCAAATGCGGCCTAACTAAGGTTCTATAAAACTGCACCATTACCTGCCAATTTTTTAAACTCAATGCCCTGGCCAATGAAGGCAAGCATGCCATATGCCTTGTTGACTGATAATAACATGACTTGATAATCCTAAATTGGGCATGAGCATAATTCTTCAAATATTCAGAAAATATCCGATTGCAGAATCACATCTATTGCTGAATACTAAGTTTTGAGTTTTGTAAACGTGGACTGGTTGGCGAGATCAGTCTCTTTCTTGTTACAAATAATCAAAGCAACATGCTGTTTGATACAAACTGCCAGTCTTTGGGATGTGCAGCCTACAGTGTAGTGTCGAAGAAGCTCAAAGTAGGAGTAATGGTGAAGTGTTTAAGAGGAAAGAATGATCTGGTTACATAGATGAAGCAACAATAAAAAGCATAATCTAGAAAGTGAAAGACTGTTCTTTTAGCAATAGATGCAACCTCTATGAAAGGTAAAAGTTAAAACAGGGAAATCAGGCTTGTTTGGGAGAAAACAAAAGGTCAGTGGTGCACACTACTCCATGGGCACAGTGTATTTATGAATGGTTCCTAATCCAAGAGATAAGTGTCCGTGTGCACGTGTGTGAACATAGAACATAGAACATTACAGCGCAGTACAGGCTCTTTGGCCCTCGATGTTGCGCCGACCTGTGAAACCAATCTGAAGCCTGTCTAACCTACACTATTCCATTATCATTCATATGTTTATCCAATGACCATTTAAATGCCCTTAAACTTGGCGAGTAAACTACTGTTGCAGGCAGGGCATTCCACGCCCTTACTACTCTCCGAGTAAAGAACCTACTTCTGACATCTGTCCTATATCTATCACCCCTCAATTTAAAGCTATGTCCCCTCATGCTGGCCATCACCATCCGAGGAAAAAGGCTCTCACTGTCCACCCTATCTAATCCTCTGATCATCTTGTATGTCTCTATTAAGTCACCTCTTAACCTTCTTCTCTCTAAAGAAAACAGCCTCAAGTCCCTCAGCCTTTCCTCATAAGACCTTCCCTCCATACCAGGCAACATCCTGGCAAACCTCCTCTGCACCCTTTCCAATGCTTCCACATCCTTCCTATAATGCGGCAACCAGAACTGTACGCAATACTCCAAGTGCGGCCGCACCAGAGTTTTGTACAGCTGCAACATGACCTCATGGCTCCGAAACTCAATCCCTCTACCAATAAAACCTAACACACCGTACGCCTTCTTAACAACCCTACATTTCCTGCTGAGATACCAAGAAGTTTAATTTATGATCACAAATTATTAAAGTGAATATTAAGGTCAGGCAGTTTCAAAGTACCCAGTGAAAGATATCTTTTCAAGATCATGCTGCATTTCATTGAAACAATATATCTGGTAAAAACAAGGAAGTCAAACTAAAAGTTGGTCAGGGAACTAAACTGCCAAACAACAGGGAGTTTTGGGTCACACTTGCAGTTAGAATGGAGATATTCAACAAAGTGGTTATCTAACTGATATTCATCACCCAGGTACAGTAGATTGGAGGAAGTTCAGATAACTCATTGTCTCACATGAAAGAAGCATCTGGGGCCTTGTTCAGTTGTGTAGGAAAAGGTGAACAGACAAATGTTGTACCACTTCAGCTCAAAAAGAGCCCGGTAAAGAAAGCAAGCAAATGGAAGTATGACATTAACAATCATACCCTTAGAAGCCAAAAAGAGGAAGACATGGTTGGAAATGCAAATAGCAGGTAACAATTTCTTGGGTGCAGAGAAAGGGTAGCTGTAATGTACTCGGATTTCCAGAAGGCATTTGACAGGGTTCCACATAAAATGTTATTGCACAAAGTAGTTGTTATAGCAGGCAACATACTAGCATGAGTTGAAGATTGGCTGGCAGCCAGAAACAGACTGCAAAAAGGTTTTCGCATTGGGCCTTCAACTTTCTCCAATTTATATCAATTAAGTGGATGAAGGACATAAATGAATTGGAGGTGGTGCAAGGTGTACAAGGTTGATACCTGAATGAGTGAGTTCTCTTACAAGAACAGAGTCACTTATGCTTGGTTTCACTCAACTTCAGAACAGCAAAGGTTGAGTTGATTGAGTTTTGTAGGCTGAATAGTCTTGGGAAAGTGCACAAGGAAAGGACGTTTACTCTTGTCGGGGAGTCCAGAACTGGGAAAAATTGTTTTACAATTAGGGGTTAACCCTTTCAGGACAGAGATGAGAGGATTTTATTTTCTTTCATAAGGTTGACACACTTTGGAACTCTCTCCCTCAGAAAGTAAGGGCATTAAATATTTTGAGATGGAGGTAGATCCTTGTTAGGCAAGAAAATCACAGTTTATCCAGGAGAATTGGGAATGTGGTATTTGGAACACAATCAAATTAGCCTTATTGAATGGCAATGACTACCAACTTCTGCTCTTATTTCTTAAGTCAAAAGGAAATATGAACTTTATTGTGGAAAGGGAAAGAATGAAGTATTAAAAATAGAATGAGCCTCATTAAGAGTCTTATCCAAATAGAATGGATCTTGATTTAAGAACTTTGCCTATCAAGATAGAGTGGAGTCACTGGCTGACGAAAAAGCAAAATACTTTGGAAGCTCTGATATGAAAGGTATCATCAGAGCAGATGAAACGTTTATAAAAAAAATAGGATAAAGAAAAGGGGCTTCTAAAGAGTGCAGGAAATAATGATTTAAGTAGTTGTGGGAGAATAGGGGGCTTGTATAGATGTCAGTAAAGCAACAATCCGCGAGTCAGAAAAGCACAGTAGTTCATGATAGTAAGGGACAAATGGAGACTGGAAAGATGAATAGAAATCTGAACTATGGTGAATTAAGTTCACATCATCAGGCTTACAAATAGCAAGCAGCACTCACTTCATCAATTATGCAATGGAAAATAAGTGGTTCTGGGGTGGGGGATGCGAGTCAGAACATTTTCACCATTTTCGATCGAAAAGACTGATATAATTGGGACCTGCACAAGTTCACTAATTTGGAGAAAATGAGTTGAGCTAAGGAAAAAGTTATTCAATTTGAGATTTGATTTATTTAATAATTCTATGCAGTTAAAAAATAATCTAGTTACTTCTAGGGTCTCAGGCATTGCCAGTACAGAAGAAAGTAAAATAAGCTAAGGATCTAAAAGCTCCACCAGCAGCTTCTTGTTGCCCTTCCCCATCCTAAAGTCGACCACCTGTCTCTAAATTCCTCCATGAAATTCTGTTCCTACTTCTCCCAAAGCCAACACAGTTCCCTCAAATTATTCTCTCATTTGCTCTTTCACCTCATGCAGTACCTATGCTAAAAGTATGCAAAATTGAACTCTCGATAAGCAACAATATGACAGATTTAAAACTGCTACATTATCTTACTTCCATTGATGGAACTTCTTGAAAACCTTCGCCACACTGATTCCACGATTTTGCAATTGAAGGTGTAAATTTCTTAGCAAGACTACTTGCTTTCTTGCAGGTTGCCTCCACATCCTGAACATCACTCAAAAATAAGAATCTCTGCACCATTCCAGTAGTCCTTTTCCGCTGAAAATCAGACAAATACATCAGATTATCAAGACAAAGAAATGTTATGCATGTCAATTTGATTTACTTTTCCCACCAGATGTGTCACAATAGAATCGGTATATGCATCTTAAAAATGAATTCTCCAACCTTCTTTTTTCTATCCTTTGGTACAGGTTAGAAACTGGATGGAAATTAGAGGTGCTGCACTATTCACAACTTCAATCTTTCATTTGTGAAGTAGAATGCTATGAATCCTGAGCATCAAGTGGTGTGACTATCCAACCAAAAATACACAAAGGTTTATTTCACTGGATTGGTTAGATCTAAATTTAGATTTAGATTTTAAACGTGAAAGTACACTTTGATTTCCATTCTCAAATAACTGAATTGTTCCTTCATTGAATGTGGGTGTTTCTGGCTGGGCCAATATTTATTGCCCATCCCTAGCTGCCCTTCAGAACACCTTCCTGAACCACTGCAGTCCATTTGGTGTAGAATGAACCAATAGGAAGAAGTTCCAGGATTTTGACCCAGCGACACTAAAGGAACAGTGATTATATTTCTAATTCAGGATCATGAGGGACTTCAAGGTGAACTGTCAAATGTTGGTGTTCCATGTATCTGCCGCCCTGGTTCTTCAACATGGATTTGGAAGGTGCTGTCTAAACAGCATTGGTAAGCAGCTGCAGTGCGTCCTGTAAATGGTGCATACTTATGTCATTGTGCATCAGTGGTGGAGGACATGAATGCTGAAGGTGTTTGATCGGCTGTCAATCAAGCAGGTTGATTTGTCATGAATAGTCTTGAGCTTCTTAAGTGCCATTGGAGCAACATTCATCCAGGAAAATTCAGAGTAATCCATCACAATCCTGGATTACACTTTACTGACAGATTTTGAGGAGTCAGGATGGAGTTATTTGCCACAGAAATCCCAATTTCTGAACTGCTTTTGTAGCACAATATTTATATGCCATGGCCAGTTCAGTTTCTGGTCAATGATACCCCCAATGATGTTGATATTAGGGGATTCAGGTCATGCCATTAAACAAAGGGCATTGATTCAATTCACTCATGTTGCAGATGTTCACTGTCTGGAATTTATGTAATACAAATGTTACCAGCCACTTAACAACTGTGCTTGACTGTTATCAAGGACTTGCTGCAATTGTCAGAAATCAATAAAGACACCAGGTTATAGTCCAACAGGTTTATTTGAAATCACAAGTTTTCGGAATGCTGCTCCTTTGTCAGGTGAAGTGGAGGGAAGCACACAAGTACTGAATTTATAGGTGGAGAGATAATTACAAGACAACGCCAGGTAATTAAGAGTGTCAAAAGGTAGTACAAATGGTGTGAGAGGAGTGTCAACAGGCTTTAATAACATGTCTTTGCAGGTGATCAAAAGTGTCAAATGGTGTGAGTAAAGTGTGAACAGTTGAATAGCAAATGAAGGGATGACCTATGATCCGATATATTAAGGCAGAGAGATAATTACAAAAAATCAAAAATAAGATGCTGACTCCAGCATCTGCAGTTCCTAATGTTTCCGAGTGAAAAATAAGATGGTGCTAGCAACAAACCAAATGGCTGGAATAACATGATAGGTATAAGAGTCTCATGACGAGGGGCAAACCAAAATATCAAATAATCCAAAACTGTACAAACTCATTAAGGTATAGAGTGATGATCATAAATTATCAAGGTAATAGTGTCAAATCACAATAGGAAGGAAGATTTTGCAAACACAGAACAATATGGTGGGGTTACATATAGTGCGACATGAACTCAAGATCACAGTTGAGGTCGTTTTCATGGATACAGAACTTGGCTAACAGTTTCTGCTTAGCAATTCTGCATTGTTATGATCTCAAAGGCTGCCTTGGAGGACACTTTCCCAAGGATCAAAGGCTGAAGGTCCTTTGCCACTGAATTGTTCCTCGACTGGGAGGGAACACTGCTGCCTGGCTGTTGTCGAGTGGTGTCCGTTCATCGATTGCCATAGTGTCTGCATGGACTTGCCAATATACCATGCCTCAGGTATCCTTTCCTGCAGCTTATGAGGTAGATAACATTGGCCGAGTCACATGAGTACCCACTGTATACGTGGTGAGTGGCATTCCCATGTGTGATGGTAATACCCATGTCGATGATCTGGCATGTCTTGCAGAGATTGCCGTGGCGGTGTTGTCTGGTGTTGCGGTCGCTGTTCTCCTGAAGGCTGGGTAGTTTGCTGCAAATAATGGTCTCTTTGAGGTTTGGCGGTTGCTTGAAGGCAAGAAATGGAAGCATAGAGATGGCCTTGGCGAGACATTCATTGTCATCAATGACATGTTGGAGACTGCAAAGAACATAGCGTAGTTTCTCCGCTCTGGGGAAGTACTGGACAACAAAGGGTACTCTCTCAGTCATATCCCATGTCTGTCTTCTGAGGCGGTCTCTATGATTCTCACCGTGACATGTTGGAACTGGCGACTGATGAGTTGAGCATTGTATCTCGTTCTTATCAGGGAATCTTTCAGCATCTGTAGGCATCCACCGAGTTCCTCCTCGTCTGAGCACATCCTGTGTATATGCAAGGCTTTTCCACAGCGGATGGCTCCTTTAACATGTTTAAAGTGGAAGCTACGGAAGTGAAGCATCGTGAGATTATCCATGGGCTTGCGGTAGAGTGAAATAGTGAGATGTCCATCCTTGATGGAGATGTGTGTGTTTAAGAATGAGACTGGTTCTGAAGAGTCGTCCATGGAAAGTCTGATGGTGGGATGAAACTTTGTGATATCGTTGTGTAGTCGTTATAGTGATTCTTTGCTAGGAGTCCAAAGAACGAAGCTATTGTCGATGCATCTGGTGTATATCATTGGTTAGAGGTCATGCGCAGCGAAGAGGTCTTGCTTGAACTTGTGCATGAACATGGTGGCGTATTGGGGTGCAAATTTGGTCCCTATGGCTGCTCCATGTGTCTGGATGAGATGTTGGTTGTTGAAGGTGAAGACGTGGTCAAGGATGAAGCAGATGAGTTGTAGAATGGCGTCTGGAAATTGGCAGTTGTAGGTGTTGAACACTGAAGCTGTTACAGGATCCTGGTGTAGAGTGTCAAAATGTCCATTGTGACGAGGAATGTTCCTGGTTCGACTGGTCCGTGATGCTATACAAACCATTGTACAAGGAACCCCCAGCTTCTCTCACGACACTACAGAGCTCTTACATAAACTCACCACCCATGGGCCAGTCGAACCAGGAAAATTCCTTGTCACAATGGACATTTCAGCACTCTACACCAACATCCCCCACAACAACAGCATCGCTGTAACAGCCTCAGCACTCAACACCAACAACTGCCAGTTTCCAGGCACCAACCTACAACTCATCTGCTTCTCGATCTTCCTTGACCACAATGTCTTCATCTTCGACAACCAGCACTTCATCCGGAACAGCCATGGGGCCCAAATTTGCACCTCAATACGCCAACATGTTCATGCACAAGGTCGAGCAAGACTTCTTCGCTGCACATGACCTCCAACCAACACTATACACCAGATGCAACAACAACATTTTCTTCCTTTGGACTCACGGCAAAGAATCACTGAAACGACTACATAACGATATCAAGGAGTTTCATCCCACCATCAAACCTACCATGGACTACTCTTTAGAATCAGTCTCATTCTTGGATACATGCATCTCCACCAAGGATGGACACCTCAGTACTTCACATTACCGCAAGCCCATGGATAACCTCACGATGCTTCACATCTCTAGCCACCACTCTAAACACGTTAAAAGAAGCCATCCCCTACGAAAAAAAGCCCTGCGTACACACAGGACGTGCTCAAACGAAGAAGAATGCGACGGACACCTACAGATGCTGAAAGATGCCCTCATAAGAACAGGATACGATGCTCAACTCATCAATCGCCAGTTCCAATGTGCCACCAGGAGCAACCACAAAGACCTCCTCAGAAGACGGGCACAGGACATGACTGAGAGGGTACCTTTCATCATCCAGTACTTCGCCGGAGCGAAGAAACTACGCTATGTGCTTCGCAGCCTTCAACATGTCATCAATGACAATGAACGTCTCGCCCAAGGCCATCTCTATGCTTCCATTTCTTGCCTTCAAACAACCACCAAACTTCAAAGAGACCATTATTTGCAGCAAACTACCCAGCCTTCAGGAGAACAGCGACCACAACACCAGACAACCCTACCACAGAAACCTCTGCAAGACATGCCATCGATCATTGACATCGATACTACCATCACACATGGGAACGCCACTCACCACATATACAGTGGGTACTCATGTGACTTGGCAAATGTTATCTACCTCATACGCTGCAGGAAAGGATGCCCCAAGGCATGGTATATCAGCAAGACCATGCAGATGCTACGACAACGGATGAACGGATTCCGCTGAACAACGGCCAGGCAGGAGTGTTCCCTCCCAGTCGGGGAACACTTCAGTAGTAAAGGACATTCGGCCTCTTATCTTCAGGTAAGCATTCTCCAAAGCGGCCTTCGAGATACATAACAATGCAGAATCACTGAGCAGAAACTGATAGCCAAGTTCCGTACCCACGAAAATGGCCTTAACGGTGTTCTTGAGTTCATGTCGTGCTATATGTAACCCCACCATATTGTTCTGTTTGCAAAATCTTCCTTACTGTTCTGTTTTGACACCATCACCTTAATAACTTATCATCATCACTCTATACCTTAATTAGTTTTGAATTACTTGTTACTTTGGTTAGACCCTCGTCATGAGACTCTTATACCTATCATGTTATTCCAGCCATTTGGTTTGTCTCTAGCACCATCTTATTTTTGACTTTTGTAATTATCTCTCTGCCTTAACATATCGGTTCATAGGTCATCCCTTCATTTGCTATTCAACTGTTCACACTTTACTCACACCGTTTGACACTCTTGATCACCTGCAAAAACTTGTTATTAAAGCCTGTTGACACTCCTCTCACACCATTTGCACTACCTTTTGACACTCTTAATTACCTGGCGTT